TATATATATGTATATATATATATATATGTAAATGTTTGATTTTAATAAATCAAAACCACTGGAAAACAGACTTGGCATTAGTAATTAGTTATATATATATATATAATACTAATTACTAATGCCAAGTCTGTTTTTCAGTGGTTTTGATTTATTAAAAAATAATAATTAGGATGCACACTCACATCTGTTCAAGGTATTTGGAAAATATATTAATAATTTTTACTTGTTTACTTATAGTTTAGAAGCACCCTAGGTTCACAGTCTTATGTGAGAAAAAAAAAAAGTTAAATTGCACACTCACATCTGTTCAAGGTATTTGGAAAATATATTAACTTGTTTAACTTGTTTACTTATAGTTTAGAAGCACCCTAGGTTCACAGTCTTATGTGAGAAAAAAAAAAAAAAAAGTTAAATAAATTCACATAAAGAATGAAGATTGCATTTCCTAGAATTTAGCAAATGTTTTAAACTAGATATTTAATAGATATTTAAAGATGTTTAAGATTTTCTTCACATAATTCCTCATTTTAAAAATCAATTTTGTCATTGACCCAACATGACTTTTTGTAAAGTATAGAATTTTAAATGGCTTCATGAATTCCAGACATTCTTTATTGGCATTGATGGTTCCATGAATTACCTTTAATATCCATGGAACCTTTCCATTTCACAAAAGGTTCTTTGTAGTGGAAAATGGTTCTTTAAATTATGAATAAGTTCTTCACACTAAGAAAAAATGTTTATTTTAAGAACTACTCACTGAAAGGTTCATTGGGGAACCCAAAAATGGCTCTTCAATGGCATTGCTGTGAAAACCCTTCTTGAAACATTTATTTTTAAGAGTGTACCGTTGAAAAATGTACAATCTTCCTACTTTCCCTCCCAACAGTATTTTTCTCCTCTTTCCATCCTTCACTCTCTCTGTCACTTCATCTAGAGAGAGCCAAGGTCTCTTCCCTCCTTCTCTCTTGTGCGGCGTGTTGTTTAATTACAGCGATTAGAGAGTCTCATTCTTTCTCCTCGTCACACTGTCATCAGGGTCGTAGTCAGCTAATTAAAAACATTTACAGACAAGTGGGACGAAGGGAGGCCGGAGAGAAAGACAAAGAACTGTTGAGACAAATTAGAATGAGGGAGAGGAAACAGACAGGAACATAATAGATGGAGACGAGATTTGAGGATTTGGGGAATGACTTCTGCATGAAAAAAAAGCTCCATTATTGACTGTGTCCCATGTGTGTGCTTTTTTGTGAACTCTTATTCACAAGCTTAAATCACTGATAAAAAAGTCAATCAGGATTAGACATCATTGCTTTTGCAGGCCATTATTCACTTAAACAAGATTGTTAATCAATTAAAAATCTCAGTTATGCAGTGGACTTTTGAAATGAGGGATTAAAGTCTGCTCTCTGGGTTTGGGTGTTTGCAGTTTATATCATGCAGTTTCTGAGTTAAAGTCATGTATCTTACACTTGGGGACTATTGACTATTGACTATTTTAATCAAATTAATTACAGGGTGCTGAGATTAATTAATCTAATTAATCACAAACTAAATTTAGCTGTGAAAATACCCCCAAAAGATCATTTAAAGCTATTGTTGTGTTACATGTTTAGGCTACAATGGCCTAACATAAAGTATGGAACATAAAAGAAGATAATTTGAGAAACATCTCAATATTTTTTGTTCATGCAATGAAAGTCACTTGTGACCTAAGCAGCTTAGTTATAAACAGTATTCGAAATACATTCTTTTATGTTGTACAAAAGAAAATAAGTCATTCAGGTTTGAAACAACATGAGGGTGAGTAAATGATGACAGAATTTATTTATTTATGGTGAACTATCCCTTTAATTATACCTTTTTTTAATAAATGAAATGATACTCTAAAGAAGAAACTAAAACTACAAGCAGGTGGCGGTAAATGTCTTTATGAGTCGATTCGTTCAAACGTCTGATTTATTCATGAATTCAGTAAACGGCTCTCTCTTGGGCTACTGAATCACTGGTTCACACGATTCGTTCAAAACGCGGGTTCATTCAGAAACTAAACACCACTGTGTTGCTCAGAGACGCACAAAACAATTCTGCTGTGGCTTTTAGGTAATATTTTCGTTGGCAAAATTGAACAAAAACACACACAATTGTGTTTAAAATATAGCACAATATTAACTTCTTATTTACTGAACTGTTGTATAAAATCGTGTTCTTCGTGACAAAAACAGCACTTGAGCGATATTGCTCTGGCTGCTCGTGTGATATGGCTTATCATATGATATAAATAAATACGAGACAAAAACTTATACAGAGGCATTTTTTGCTCCAATATCTTGAATTTTAGGGCATAACTGCATTTATGGAGTTGTTGCCCTGCATCATATTTGTCAACAGTCCACTGTATGAAATGTAAGATGACGTACAGGTCTGGGGGCGGGGCCAGTGCCTTAAAGGGATAGTTCACCCAAAAATGAAAATGTGATGTTTATCTGCTTACCCCCAGGGCATCCAAGATGTATGTGACTTTGTTTCTTCAGTAGAACACAAATTATGATTTTTAAGTCCAGCCGTGCACAAACCGATCGTTTCGTGTCTTAGGACATCAATGTGTCGTCACGAGCCGCAGGGTTTAATTTGGATTTGTCTGTGCATGTTTTTTTTACTCTCATAGATTTTGTTACCATTGCCATGCATTATACGACTGATAGACTGCAACAGCTGGACTTAAAAATCATAATTTGTGTTCTACTGAAGAAACAAAGTGACCTACGTCTTGGATGCCCTGGGGGTAAGCAGATAAACATCAAATTTTCATTTTTGGGTGAACTATCCCTTTAACTGCGATAACATATTTTAATCACGTTATTTTTCATAACTAATTAATTAAGTTAACGCGGGGGGGGTCTAATTCAACATGCCAATCTAACTTAACATTTTCTTATATTGATATTGTTTATTTCTAACTCCTTAACAGCTCATCAGGCTCTTAATGATTTAATCTATGCCATCTTTTGGAATATCTGAAGGCCATGTACCATAGTTCTTAACTGTAGCATTTGTTATAATAAGACTAGCCTATTAATCATTACCAGGCCAATAATGACTTCTTTTTTTAATTAATCAATATAGCATTTGTTATGAAGAAACAACCGCCTGCACATTTAGAACCAATAGCTACAACATGCCACAGTTGTAGCCTAATATAAATCTATAGGGAAAAATCTATTCCCTTAACAGATTATCTAATATAAATTCTACAACAAGTTAGACTAAATTTTACACAATAAATAAGGCTACAATAAAATGTGATAAATTATAGTAAAGGTGGTCATGAGTGGTTTAAAAATATGTTAGTGCTGGTTCAAGACTGTTTTCTCCTCTTCTGTCTCCTCTTCTCCATTCGTCTTTTTTAGTTTATTTGCTTTTTTTAGATACTGTTCGACTTTCTCCATAGCACTTTAAAGTGGCTGTTTCTCTAAATAATTCAAATCACATCTTTGACCATCAGCTTCGCGATAGGAATGGCTAGCGTAAATCTTATCACTCTTCTCGAGCGCGCTG